CAAGGATGGTCTCTGACTGCATTCGTCTGTTGCCAACGTTGCCATAAACACCAAATGGTGTTTCTGTGGACGTTAAATTGTCTTGCAACATCACGTTGACTCGATCCTGCTTCACGCATACCAATGGCTCGCAGACGCTCATTTTCGGACAGGCGTGGCATTTCGTAATGTTGAATAATTGCGTAATTTTGTTGTTTTTCTGAGTGGTTGTTGTCAGCACGATGCTAAACAATGCATATGGAATCCCGTTAACGCACATGTTTTTATACCCATTCTTGGGTAGTGAAATGCATGGGGCTTGCATAAAAGTCAACTTTTGCATTTAATGCATGCTTTTCTGTTGCAGTTGCGTTTTTATGACTTGATTCCATACATGTACTACCATATTGTAAACCAAACTTTACTTGTTTGAAAAATACACTAAAATAATGGTGTCACCAAAGCCCTTTTCGAGTTACACGAATCTCACCCTGAAACGAGGATGACGACGAGAGTTAATAGCGGACAATAAAAACTCTAGATTATACTCAATTCTATAAAAATGTTTAAAGGGAATTTAGACGTTTAGACCGAAAATCACAACGTAAGCAGTGTAAAGAAATAAGAACAGACTAAAAAGGTGAGGTAAGAGTGGGTTTAACGCCGCGTCCAAGATTATTGCACTTATATAGCGGCGTGCATGCACGCGTTTGTGAGTGTGTGTGTGTGTGTGTGTCTGCTTGTACTAGTCCGGACTGATGCCGATTTATAGTGGCAGCTCACGGAGATACCCTGCCGCAGTTTAACATGACTACCCCACTCAGACACAGTATACTGACTCCGATCCGACCAGTCCTTGTTTTAGCCCCTTAATGCCGAGCTCCAGACAGAATAACAACAACTACCATCTTTTAACGTCTTTTGGTATGACGCGGTCGGGGACCGAGTCCCGGACCTTCAGCTCTACAACTAAACCACGGAGGCGGTCCAAACCTTGAGGAGATAAACTTCCTAATCTATTGTACGAGTGTAGATAAAGCCCATGCCAATCTTCGACGTCGATATTCCAGCGTTAACGTCATGCCCTTGAACGGTCTGTAGGCTCTGATTCCTCGCTCACGGAGTCGTCTCGAGACTGTCCACCTGCTGACACGATGACCAAGGCTATGAGCTGATGATGACGTCACAGTGAGGAATCTGTTCCTTAAATGAAGCGTACGTAGATAACGGTCTTCTTGTGGCGTAGTGACTTTTGGTCGACCGCTCCTTGGCCTGTCTGCTGTCCTGCCAGTTTGTCTGTAACGTGTGACTAGTCTGCCAATCGTTCTTTTTGCGCAGCCCATGATTCTTGCAACATGGTCGTGAGTTGCCCCCATCTCCAACATTCCAATCGCTCTTTGTCTCTGTTCCCCAGTTAATCTAGGCACGTTCTGCGGGTTTTGCAGACGCTGATGATTGCAAAGAACAGTTTCCAACGGGTTTTTATAACCGATCTTCATACGGGTGATTTCCTGCACGTGCAGGCAATTTCACTGAATAAAGTCATTTTTACCCGCTTCTGACATGCAGCACGTGAATTTCCCTGAGATACCATGCATTGGTGTGTTTGGGCAATGTGTTCCGAACTGTTTTTCATGTTTTTGACTATATTTAACAATTATAATATATTTCTAACTTTGGGGACGTTTCTTTTGCACGTGAGTGTATATGTAACACTGTGCCAGGTTGTAGTGCTTGTTATGTTGGCGCATCGGGGCACCCAGCCTTACCCTAGCTTGGCTAAGGGTGGGAACTTCCTATTTTTCTTGTCTGGACCCAGGCTATATATATATATATATATATATATATATATATGGTAATCGGTCATAGGTTTCTGGCGTGCCCAAGGGAGGCAACTCTGCCTTAGAGTTGATCTCATGTCCTCTATTTCTACTTTGTTATGTGTTCTGTATTTCATGATTTGTACATACTGTATCCTGATTATAGAAAGGCAACCACAGCATCGTTGCTATTGCCGTATTTCAATTTGTTAGCTTTTCTGAACCTTTCCGCCCGCCACAAAACAAGTCATTGTCATTGATACCTTAGAAAATATATCCCCTCTCTAAGAGTCTAATGAGTCAAGCGATAGCAAAGGCTATACATTATGTATTTGTTTCGACTTGGACAAAACATTCGCTTGTATGGCTTTTGTCTACATGTGTTATACGATATTACTTGATCATATCATGATGTTATATATGAGAGTGTGTGAACTTATCCTTGTCAATTAAGCCAATATCAAACGACTAAAACTTCCCGTGAGATTCTTTTGTTTAAACGTGAGTGATAAATGCAGGAAAATATACCCATAAATAATTCCTTCTTATCTAACTAAATGAGGACCGCCTCCGTGGTCTAGTGGTAGAGCGTCCGCCCGTCAGAAACCTACGACCGATGACTATGGATATATAAGCTTGGTTCAAGACACGACAAATAGGAAGGTTTCACCCTAAGCCTAGCTAGGATAAGGCTGGGTGGTCCGGGGTGCCAACATAACAAGCACTTCAACCTGGCACAGAGTGTTACATATATATGTGTGTCTGTGTGTGTATATAGAGAAATGGCATCCATTGAGAATCTGCAGCCGTACAATAGATTATGAAGTTTATCTCCTTAAGGTGTGGACCGCCATAGTGGTAGAGCGTCCGCCCGGTGAGCGGAAGGTCCAGGATTCGATTCCCGGCCGCGTCATACCAAAAGACGTCAAAAGATGGTACTTGTTGTTACCCTGTCTGGCGCTCGGCATTAAGGGGCTAAAACAAGGACTGGTCGGCTCGGAGTCAGTATACTGTGTCTGAGTGGGGTATTCATGTTAAACTGCAGCATGGTATCTCAGTGAGCTAGCACTATAAATCGGCATCAGTCCGGACTAGTACAAGCAGCCACACACACACAAGTACATGCACGTCGCCATATAAGTGCAATAATCTTGGACGCGACGTTAAACCCCATTTCACCTCACCTCTATTCAATGATATCCACCATTACAACATGGTTTGTCCCAACATCCCCAATATATTGTGCTGCAAATGAGCGACAAGTACAATTCGCAATACGTTCACTGGAATAAGTTAGTGAGTTTGTGTAACGCCGCTTTGAACAGTATTCCAGTTATATCACGGCGACAGTTTGATGAGGGAGGAAAGCCCGAAGTGACGCAGGTCTCAGAGACGTTGACTACTTTGGTAAAACCCCACGAGTACGGGTGTGGCGCTGACAAACCTAGATACATAATAGGGATTCGAACCCACAATCATAGGTTTCTGGCGTGCCCAAGGGACGCAACTCACCACAGTAAATTGCGGCACCTTAGACGACTGGGCCACCCGTGTCCAATGTCTGCGTGTGTGTACATCTCTGCGTATGTGTCTGTGTGTCTCTCTCTGTGTATGAGGTTACTGTCACCAGGATCATCTCATAATCGCGGGAACGTTAGTTTTGAACAGTACTGTATGCTGTGTGTCTCTCTCTGTTGTGTGTGTGTGTGTCTGTCTGTCTGTATGTGTATTTGTGCGTGCATGTGTATGTGTCTCTCTCTGTGTATGAGGTTACTGTCACCAGGATCATCTCATAATCGCGGGAACGTTAGTTTTGAACAGTACTGTAGGCTGTGTGTCTCTCTCTGTTGTGTGTGTGTGTCTCTCTGTGTATTTGTGCGTGCATGTGTATGTGTCTCTCTCTGTGTATGAGGTTACTGTCACCAGGATCATCTCATAATCGCGGGAACGTTAGTTTTGAACAGTACTGTAGGCTGTGTGTCTCTCTCTGTTGTGTGTGTGTATGTGTCTGTCTGTGTATTTGTGCGTGCATGTGTATGTGTCTCTCTCTCTGTATGAGGTTACTGTCACCAGGATCATCTCATAATCGCGGGAACGTTAGTTTTGAACAGTACTGTTGGCTGTGTGTCTCTCTCTGGTGTGTGTGTGTGTGTGTGTGTGTGTGTGTGTGTGTGTGTGTGTGTGTGTGTGTGTGTGTGTGTGTGTGTGTGTGTGTCTGTGTCTGTGTCTGTGTATTTGTGCGTGCATGTGTGTGTCTCTCTCTGTGCATGAAATTACTGTCACCAGGATCATCTCATAATGGCGGGAACGTTAGTTTTGAACAGTACTGTAGGCTGTGTGTCTCTCTCTGTTGTGTGTGTGTGTGTGTGTGTGTGTGTGTGTGTGTGTGTGTGTGTGTGTGTGTGTGTGTGTGTGTGTGTGTGTGTGTGTGTGTGTGTGTGTGTGTGTCTGTGTATTTGTGCGTGCATGTGTATGTGTCTCTCTCTGTGTATGAGGTTACTGTCACCAGGATCATCTCATAATCGCGGGAACGTTAGTTTTGAACAGTACTGTTGGCTGTGTGTCTCTCTCTGGTGTGTGTGTGTGTGTGTGTGTGTGTGTGTGTGTGTGTGTGTGTGTGTGTGTGTGTGTGTGTGTGTGTGTGTGTGTGTGTGTGTGTGTCTGTGTGTGTGTGTCTGTCTGTCTGTCTGTGTATTTGTGCGTGCATGTGTATGTGTCTCTCTCTGTGTATGAGGTTACTGTCACCAGGATCATCTCATAATCGCGGGAACGTTAGTTTTGAACAGTACTGTTGGCTGTGTGTCTCTCTCTGTTGTGTGTGTGTGTGTGTGTGTGTGTGTGTGTGTGTGTCTGTGTCTGTGTCTGTGTATTTGTGCGTGCATGTGTATGTGTCTCTCTCTGTGTATGAGGTTACTGTCACCAGGATCATCTCATAATCGCGGGAACGTTAGTTTTGAACAGTACTGTAGACTGTGTGTCATATATGTTGTTGAAGAAACGAGGCAGTCAGACTGATTCTTGCTCCACAGAAAGCAGACGATGTACACGATGTTCCTACCTGTTGTTTCCGTGTTGATGCTGCTGTTGGTTTTACCACAAGGAGCACAAATACTGGGAAGAAGGTTTAAAAAAATTGACAAACCTTTTTCTTATAAACTCCAGGTTTTAGGCGAAGTTAGCGCTGTATCTCTCTTGAAGTGCAATGTAGAATGCAGCGTATTGCCTGGATGTCTCGCCCTGAAGTACAAGCGTACCACCTACCAGTGTACCATGTACCGCCACCTCAGTGTGACAGACGGGAGTCCAGTGTCATTGGACCAAGTCTCGGATGATGCACGAAGATATGCAATTTCGGAAGGTAAGTAAATTTACACCGCACCTGCGTCATATAAGTTACCTATTCTCCAATGGATATTCCTAACCACCCATCCTATCTGTAGGGTTGTCTGAAATGTGGATCTAGAGTGACCAATGTGTGTCACCCCGTGTGTGCAATCCCAAGGGATGAGTGTGTGTAATCATCAATACTCCATCTATGTGAAGGCGGCCCGGAAACAATCGAGTCTGGACGATGCAATCCAGTGATTGATATTGATAGCAAAGATCCACAGCGTCTCCCCGGGACGGAGGCACGGAGCCTGACCTCCCGACCCCTTTAGCCGCATCTTTCGACCAGCATAGGTTGCTGGGTATCTATTCTTACCCAGATACACCCTCACACTCACACACACTCATACACTCACACACACTTATACACTCACACACACTCATACACACTCATACACTCATACACACACACACACACACACACACACACACACACACACACACACACACACACACACACACACACACACACACACACACACACACACACACACTCATACACTCACACATACACACCTACACTCACACACACTCATACACACTCATACACGCACACACACTCATACACACTCATACACTCACACACACACACACACACACACACACACACACACACACACACTCATACACTCACACATACACACCTACACTCACACACACTCATACACACTCATACACGCACACACACTCATACACTCATACACACACACACACACACACACACACACACACACACACACACACACACTCATACACTCACACATACACACCTACACTCACACAAACTCATACACACTCATACACGCACACACACTCACACACACTTATACACTCACACACACTCATACACTCACACACACACTCATACACCCCTATATACTCACATATACACACCTACACTCACACACACTCATACACTCACACACACTCATACACTCACGCACACTAACACACTCACACACATTCATACACTCACACACACTCATACAGTCACATATACACACCTACACTCACACACACTCATACACTCACATACACTCATACACTCACACACACTCATGCACTCACACACACTCATACACTCACACACACTCACACACACTCATCCACTCACACACACTCATATACTCACACACACTCATACACTCACACACACTCACACACTCATACACTCACAGACCCCTATATACTCACATATACACACTCATACACTCACACACACTCATACACTCACACACTCATATACTCACACACCCCTATATACTCACATATACACACCTACACCCACACACACTCATACACACTCATACACTCACACACACTCATTCACTCACACACACTCATACACTCACACACACTCATATACTCACACACCCCTATATACTCACATATACACACCTACACCCACACACACTCACACACACTCACACACTCACACACACTCATGCACTCACACACACTCATACACTCACACACATTCATTCACTCACACACACTCATTCACTCACACACACTCATACACTCACACACACTCATACACTCACACACACTCACACACTCACACACCCCTATATACTCACATATACACACCTACACTCACACACACTCATACACTCACACACATTCATACACTCACACACACTCATACACTCACACACACTCATACTCTCACGCACACTCATACACTCACGCACACTCATACACTCACACACTCTCATACACTCACACACCCCTATATACTCACACATACACACCTACACCCACACACACTCATACACTCACAAACACACTCATACTCTCACACACACTCATACACTCACACACACTTATACACTCACATACACTCATACACTCACACACACACTCATACACCCCTATATACTCACATATACACACCTACACTCACACACACTCATACACTCACACACACTCATAAACTCACGCACACTAACACACTCACACACACTCATACACTCACACACACTCATACAGTCACATATACACACCTACACTCACACACACTCATACACTCACATACACTCATACACTCACACACACTCATGCACTCACACACACTCATACACTCACACACACTCACCCACACTCATCCACTCACACACACTCATATACTCACACACACTCATACACTCACACACACTCACACACTCATACACTCACAGACCCCTATATACTCACATATACACACTCATACACTCACACACACTCATACACTCACACACTCATATACTCACACACCCCTATATACTCACATATACACACCTACACCCACACACACTCATACACTCACACACACTCATTCACTCAGACACACTCATATACTCACACACCCCTATATACTCACACACACTCATACACTCACACACACTCACACACTCATACACTCACAGACCCCTATATACTCACATATACACACTCATACACTCACACACAGTCATACACTCACACACTCATATACTCACACACCCCTATATACTCACATATACACACCTACACCCACACACACTCACACACACTCACACACTCATGCACACTCATGCACTCACACACACTCATACACTCACAAACACTCATTCACTCACACACACTCATTCACTCACACACACTCATACACTCACACACACTCATACACTCACACACACTCATACACTCACACACCCCTATATACTCACATATACACACCTACACTCACACACACTCATACACTCACACACATTCATACACTCACACACACTCATACACTCACACACACTCATACTCTCACGCACACTCATACACTCACGCACACTCATACACTCACACACTCTCATACACTCACACACACCTATATACTCACACATACACACCTACACCCACACACACTCATACACTCACAAACACACTCATACTCTCACGCACACTCATACACTCACACACACTCATACTCTCACACACACTCATACACTCACACACTCTCATACACTCACACACACCTATATACTCACACATACACACCTACACCCACACACACTCATACACTCACACACACTCATACTCTCACACACATTCATACACTCACACACACTCATACACTCACACACACTCATACACTCACACACACTCATACTCTCACACACATTCATACACTCACACACACTCATACACTCACACACACTCATACTCTCACGCACACTCATACACTCACACACTCTCATACACTCACACACACCTATATACTCACACATACACACCTACACCCACACACACTCATACACTCACACACACTCATACTCTCACGCACACTCATACACTCACACACACTCATACACCCACACACACCTATATACTCACACATACATACCTACACTCACACACACTCATACACTCACACATACACACCTACACTCACTCATACACTCACACATACACCTACACTCACACACACTCATACACTCACACACATACACACACCTACACTCACACACACTCATACACTCACACACACTCATGCACTCACACACCCCTATATACTCACACACACCTAAATACTCACACATACACACCTACACTCACACACACTCATACACACCCATACACTCACACACACTCACACACTCACATACACGCACGCACACTCATACACTCACACACACAGACACTCACTCACTCACACACACTCATACACTCACACACACCTACATACTCACATATACCCACCTACACTCACACACACTCATACACTCACACACACTCATACACTCACACATACTCATACATTCGCACACACTCATACACTCACACACACTCATACACTCACGCACACTCACACACACTCACACTCTCACACACACTCACACACTCACACACACAGACACTCACTCACTCACACACACTCATACACTCTCACACACATCTATATACTCACACATACACACACATATACAAACAAACTCATTCGCTTACACATACACACCTACACTCACACACACATATACACTCACACGCTGACTCACACACACACATACACTGACATACACATACTCACACACTGACTCAGACTCACACACACCTACTCATACACTCACACACACATTCACACACTTAATCTCACACACACGCACACACACACACACACACACACACACACACTGACTCACGCTCACTCACACACACACACTCACTCACTCACACTCTCTCTCTCTCTCACACACACATTCACTCAAAACGGTAATTCCAACAGTTTTCAAATTTCACATTTTCAATCATTCCCTAAATGGCTATGTAAATACTGTAAAGCATTGATATGATTATCAGAAGCATATAGCTCGGCAAACGTATTGAATATGCGATTTTTTACAAAATGTCCACTCCAGCTATTTTGTTTACATTGCGCACTGGAAACTTAGTGCGTCTCGTCAGGTTGTAAATCTCCATTAATGTCAAAAACCAAAAACATTATACAAAAGCTTGTTTGTTTCCCGATTATCATGGTGAAAATGAAACATCCCCTTGGAAATTAAGCAGCGAAATCGTCGATTACGAATTTTTCCAAATTTGCGTGATGCCATTTTGCCCGTAAATTAGTAAAAACTTCAACGTAATCGTTGGAATATCATGTCGGAAAATGCATATTAATAAAATCAATGTTTATAATAAGTTAATAAAATCATATCCCTGAAATCTGAGGTTTATTATCTATGAAGTTACATACTTCAATATGAAGAAAAACGAAACAACATTTCAAAATATGTCGTTCGCCTTGTGGTGTTTTCTTCAGTGTAGAAAATCTTGAATCATATCGGCGATTGTTTACATTTTTTGGGAAAAAATATCTTAGCCAATCTGTAACGAAAATGCCCGTATACATAATATATTTTTACTTCTATCACACCAACATATACATGTATTTTTCACGGCTAAAGTATAGCGGTTCACTCAATTTTTAAAAATACTCCTACCGTTCGATGGCGGACA